TGTTCTAGGCCGGGAGTGCCCTAGCAGGCCATCTGGAGCCGAAGTGGGGGCAGGTGTGGAGTGTTCCCATGTGTGTGTGCCTGTGTCCCCTTAGTGTGGTGGCCAGGGCGGCTCTGGGGTGCCCCATGCTGGAGCTGCCTGGATGGGACAGTGGGGGGCCGGTGTGGGCTCACTGATGAGGAGGGTGGCCGTGGCATCTGGACTCTGCTCCTGCGTGGAGGTCAAAGTGGAGGGCAGACGTAAACCGTGGTGTTCACCAGTCCCTCCGACCTGGAGAGAGTTCTAGTAGCTCCCCTGCCGTTGTGTGGAGCCTGGGTCTTTTATAGCCTAGTTTCTCCTTTAAACTGTAGCCCTTTTCTGTGTCCCTCCCCCCCCCCATCCCTGGGGCAGATAAATCTGCTCAGGGTCCTTCAGGATGACCCCTCCCCACTGCACTTGGTAGTGTCAGTGCTGGGGAGGGGGCGTTCCCTGCATTTCTGTGTGTCTCTTTCTCTCTTGCTGTTCTCTGCATGGTCTCTGTAGCTTCTGTCGTGCAGAAGCTGTTCAGTCAGCCCTCAGTTGTGCTGCAGAGATAGACGTGGATTTGCTGTGGCCTCAGGAGGGGCCACGGGCGAACTGAGCGTCTTCCTACCATTGCCATTTTAGATCTTCAGCTCAAGGAGCCAGTCTTTTGAGAGAGAGAGAGAGAGAGTGCCTACAAGTAGGGGAGAGGGGCAGAGGAAGAGAGAGAGAGAATCCCAAGCAGGCTCCATGCTCAGCACTTAGCCCAACATGGGGCTCAACCCCACACCCTGGGATCACGTCCTGAGCCAAAATCAAGAGTCAGACGCTCCACCGATGGAGCCACCCAGGCGCCCCAAGGGGTCAGTCTTATGCAACATAAAAGTGTTCCCACATTGCCCGCGGGGCCCTCTGTGCATTACTCAGAACATGCTCGTCAAAGTGCCTCTGCTCCTGCTCTGCATGAAGTATTTAGCCCAGCCGTGGGAATCCGTACAAAACCCCACTTGCCTAACACACACTGTAAAAGGTTTACAGAAGTCATTCATCTTTCATTTTTTTTGTTTTATTATTTTTTTGAGAGAGATTTGCGGGCATGTGCAAACAGGAGAATGGCAGACAGATGGAGAAAGAGAGAATCCCAAGCAGGCTCCGCACTGTCAGTGCAGAGCCTGATGTGGGGCTTGAACCCATGAACCATGAGATCAAGACCGGAGCTGAAATCACGATTCAGATGTTTCACCGATGAGCCACCCAGGCACCTCAAAGTCATTCACATTTCAATGAAATTTATTTAAAAACAGGCCACTCCCTTTCTCATTCCTCTCTGCCCTTCATAATAATTTTTCCTGGAACAATCCACAGGGGTCCACAGGACTCACAAGTGGGCCTTCGCTGAGCCACTCTCCCTCCCAGCCATCCTCATGTTCTCATCAGGCCATTCTAGATCAGGGCGACAGAACAGTTTCTGACCACAGAACCTTTCCAGATAGAGACCACGGAGGCAAGTAACTGCATGATGTGACCCTAGATGGGGCAGATAAAGGGCATTAAGGGGACAACTGACAAACTTTGGATAAGGTCTGAAGATGAGATCACAATATTGTGTCAGTGTTACGTTTCTTCATTTTGGTCATTACACTGTGATTTTTATAGTCCAGTATCCTTGTTTGTAGGAAATCACACCAATGTCTTCAGCAATAAAGAGGCATTGTGTCTGCAACTTCCTCTCAAATCTTTCAGGCCGAAAGTCTGTGTGTGTGGGGGGGGCGGGGGGGGGGTGGACACTGAGAAGGAAAGGGGCTGGTTGATTAGGCACGGTCATAAATTGTCGATGTCCGGATAGTCTTGAAAGGTACAGAGGAACTCTCCCACCATTTCCCACATCTCAGATGATTCCAAAATAAGTTTAAAAAACACGATCTCGACAGATGAGAGTCAGGAGGAGAGCTCTGAACTTGTAATATGTCTGGGCTCCTTGAATTCACTGGGTTCTAAACCCAGTTCCTAATAGTTGGGTTTGTAAGGGGACTGAAGTCCCTCCTTGCTTCGAGTCAGAGTCCCTCCAAAGTCCTCTCACATGGCCAAACAGACACTAGATCTTGCTCTCCTGGCTGGCTGAGCCCCCGGGTTACCTGAAAGCTCAGACTTGTCTTTCCCCTTCTGCACCTTCCCCCCTCGCCCCCCCACTGGGTGCCCATGTAGAAGCCTACATCCCTCTGGGATGTAGACAGACCCACTTTGTCTCTGTCTGTACTGGCGGAGTCATATACTGGGCTTATCCATGGCAACACGGACCAGTCAGAACAGAGTAGGTTATGCTCCAGGAAGAAACCGGCCCCAAAGTTGGGCTTACTTATCACAATGAAGGATGATTCCTCACTCATGCTGTGTATGCATTGTGTTCGGGGCTCTCTGCTCACACTACTTGCTCAGGAAGCCCAGCTGAGCAAGGCGCCATCTTGTCTCATGACAGTCACCACAGTAGATGAAAGCAACGTGGTAAATGACTCACTGGCACTTTAAAGTTTGTTTCTAAAAGAGACAAGTGTTGGTTCCACTTCTGTTTCACTCACCATGAAGTATGATCCTTCAGGACATTTGCGAGGAAGGGACATAGGAATATGTGTAACGTCCCGATGAGTCTCACAGTGCCACCTCTCAGCAGTTAAGCTGAGTGGAAGAGGTGTATTTAGGGGGCGCCTGGCTGGCTCAGTGAGTGGAGCATCCGACTGGATCTTGGGTCCTGAGTTTGAGCACCGCGTTGGGGGCAGAGATTACTTTTCTAAAAGGTAGAGAAAACAGTGCTATAGAGGAGAGCCGCCTCAGAGGCAGGCACTCTAGAAGCAACGATTCCACCTGCCACCAGGGGCAGAGTGAGAAACAGGCCAGAAGTCACCAGAGCACTTCCTCCTCTGAGGGACGCTCTTGCCCCCGAGCTCCTCTGTGCCCTTGCTCTGACAGGCACAGGCTTCTGTCATACTGTCCTCAGGTTCTTTTGCTGTTACTCTCTCGTGACGTTCTGCTAGAAAGATAGATTTGTTTATGTGCCGCGAATGTTGACTAGATGCCTGCAGGACAGAAGGTGCCGCACTAGGTTCTGGAATCTGAGGGCAGTCAAGACATTGGCTCTGCCCTCCTGGCATTTCCTGACTGGTTACAAAGACAGGGAAGAAGACACATATTTTAAGTTTAGAGGGTTGAGCCACGCCCCGGGTGGGAAGAGGCCACCTGGTTGTACGTGGGGGGAGGAGGGTGGCGGGAGGCAGGGAGGAAGGAGAAGCCCTGGGGATCCGTGCAAGCACTGTTCTCCGTTCCTCACTCTCCGGCTTAGAGGAAGGCAGGCGGTGCCACATGTGCTCGTGGGCAGGATTGGAGGTCACGGCTTAATGGCGATCAGTGTGCTCTCTTTCAGCAAACAAATACTTATGAGGCACCCGCCACAGTGATAAGGCTAATTTTGCCTACATTTGGGTGGTACTTAATAGTTTATAAATCAGACTCCTTGAAAATCACTGGCTTCTTTCACAAATGAGGCTGCGGAGATTGGGAACAATTAGAGTCTTTGAAAGTCCCAACTCCATAGTCAACTCAAGTTCCTTACCCCCGCCCGCCCCCCCCCCCACCCCCCGGCACTTCCCACTAACCTATTCTGCCTACAGACGGGATCCTCTACCTGTCAAGGATCCCACAGTCAAGGGAAGAGTTGATATCCACCCCTGGCAGATGGGGCGCAAAGCCGTGTTGATGTCATCCCAGCCCTCTGTTCTGTCCCGAGCCGAGTGAATCCGTAAGATCTCCCTTTTCTCCACCCTCCTGCTGGATGGTTAACGGGGATGAATAATACAAGGTAGGCACAGGTTTTTCGGGGACTGCCCTATCCACTCAGGGAGGTCACAGTTGCTACATGGATGCTTTGCTGACTCACAGCTGCCCGTGAGTGGCCGGCTCTGCCTGATGTAATTGCCCTGAGATGTGGCAGGAGGGGACAGCGGAGGAAGGGTCGGCTCCCGTCTCCCGGGGCAGGATTCTCTTGTTCCCTGCAATCTGTAGCCAAGGGGGTGGGGGGGTGGGGGGGTTGGGTCTGTGCGGCCAACATGCAGTCCTGCCGAGGATGTCAGCCAAGCTCAGCGTTTTCAGCTGCAAAGGTTTGGTGAGGTTCTGGCCCCGCGCTAGCCCTACATGATTACATGAGATAATGTGTGCGTACCTCTTGGCACGTGGGAAGTGAGCAAAATGTGTGAACTGCTGTAATAGTCGGAATTACAGCCATGGTGATCTTAACAAGTACTGTAGTCACGAAGCAATAGCATGAGAGCAATAGTTATTTCATGACCGTAATGATAAATATCACAATATTATGGCAGCCGCTGGCGGGGCTGCGATGAGAGCCATTCTCCAAACGGGAAAGAGTTGCATCAGGGATGCATGATGATAAACAGCAGACTGTATGGGACACTGCACTTTTCTTCGTTTTGCCCTGAACCTAAAATTGCTCTAAGAAATAAAGTGTAAGCGATTACAAAAAGGAAAGAAGACAAAGGAAACAGATGGACACTCAGTTGGTGAGGTTATTGTTTCTCTGTTCTCTGAAGACACGGCATGCCCTTACGTCTACACAGAGGGGACGTCCTTGGCCGCCCTGCCCTGCGACGCTAGGCCAATAAAAATGTTATTTTCAAAGTGCTCTACCTGCAATGCAGACGTTCTGATGGCAGTGATGATCCATTGCTCTTGGGTTTCTCTGTTCACAGTCGGACCCAACACCACGGGTCTCGTCTCCCTGTGGCTCTGCCTGGTATAAGCAGCCACGTCATCTGTGCTGGTTGTGGCTGTAGCTGAGTGGCTTGCCTGTGAGCGGCTCCCCTGGGGGGCACCTGGCATCTAGCGAGATCTTCCCCAACCCACAGACCAGGGGAAAGGGGATCTTGGCCCTGAGTCACCAGCAGGGTGGCTCCCTTTTCCTTTGCCCACTGAAAGGATCTCTTTCCTCCGCTTAGGAAAATGCGCAGCTCATCCGAGAAGTGGAAGTGGACAAGGTCTGTGCGCTCTCCGGGGACCAGGTGGAGGCCATCAAGCAGCTGTGGCAGGACCCGGGCATCCAGGAGTGTTACGACAGGAGGAGGGAGTATCAGCTGTCGGACTCCGCCAAGTAGTGAGTACAGAGCCCGGCACAGCCCCACGTGCTTTCCGCACACGTGGCCGCGCTTCAGGGAAGCTTCTGGCTGGGGAGAGATGAGCTGCCCATAAAATGTGGGTGCTCAGTAGCAACACGACCTCCTTCCTGCTTGCCAGTGTCCCCTCTGACTTCTTGGTTTGTCTCTTCCCACCCCCTCAAAACTGTGGGCCCCCAGGTCTCTGTCCTTGTCTGCACTCACCTTTCTCTGCTGTGTTCTAAGCCTCTTTTGCTTAAAAAAAATTATTTTTAATGTTTGTTTATTTTTGAAAAAGAGAGAGGGAGTGAGAGCATGTGCATGCTAGCGAGCAGGCAGGGGAGGGGTAGAGAGAGAGGGGAAGACACAGCATCTGAAGCAGGTTCCAGGCTCTGAGCTGTCAGTACAGAGCCCGACGCGGGGCTTGAACCCACGAACCATGAGATCATGATCTGAGCTGAAGTCGGTCGCTTAACAGACTGAGCCACCCCAGTGTCCCTAAGCCCCTCTCTCTTTTCCAACAAGAAGCTCAATCAAATGTGGGCTCCCTTTGAGGGGACTCGTCTCATTTGGGGTGCCGAAATTTTCTGACTTAAATAAGGATCACCGCTGCTTCTGGATTCTTCTTTCCGTATCCTTCTGCCTTCTGGTTTCCTGATCAGTACACAGACAGGTCCAACTGTCCTCAAATCTAAAATCAGAGTGAAGACCAGCAATGAAGTAGGCCAGCTCCACTGGCTGATCCGGTGCTTCCCTCTACTGGACAAGACAGGCTCTGCAGGCCCAGCACACGCAGGAAGCTCAGTCCAGGAGCCCCTTTGCTCATTGACTCCCTGGGAAGGCCTACCCACTATATTTTTGATTCATAAAGCTCTCGTTTTAAATCATTAATCCCTAAGGGAAAACGACACAGATGGTTCTGCACGCAAACTATCCCCTGGAGATCACAGAATTTCATTGTCTTAAGAATTTCTTGAGGCGATGCCTCTCTTGTCATCGAAGTCACTGGACAAAGTAGATTGATCTTGCTGCTTCTTGAAGAGGCGATGAATACTGCTTCTGCATCTCAGCTCTTTCCCCTTTGCCCCATGTCATCGTCCAACATCTAAGGGCCCCAGGACCCTTTCATCCCTTGCCCTCTGAGCCGGTGTGGGTAGTGGTTCACCCCGATCGCCCGGACAAGGCAGTGGTTCGGGAAAGGAAACCTAAAACCTCGGCAGCCTTTGATGCCGGTGCCTGGCTGAATGATTGATGCCATTAACCCAGGTTTGCACAACCAACCTGAGCACAGGGATATTTAGCTGCAATAGAGCAGTCAGGTAGGAAGAGGAAATAAAAGAAGCGCAGAGAAGGTGTCGGGTCAGCTCAGGAAAGAGCCAGAAGGAAGGCAGGTGGTGTCCCAAGGAAGAGGGACAGCTGTAGAGTGGGAGCCACCTCCATGTCAGTGAAGCCATCTCTGGTCCTTCCCTGAGACAGCCTAGCGTCAGTGGCTTCTGTGAAGGTCCTGGGGAGTGGCCGGGGCTCCTGATGTAGATCCGTTCATGTAGATCCCTTCGGAAGAGACGCAGCGGAGCCCTGAGCATTGGAGCTAGTGCTCTGACGGGAGCGTAGGGAACGGCCAGGTGCACAGAGCTGACACAGAGAGCGTGGCCCTCATAAGCCCAGCGCTTGCCCCACTTTCGGAATCGGCAGGTTCAAGGTACTTGGGCAGTCTCCTTGGTCCAGGTCTTGTGCTAGTGCAGCCTGCTTATTCGGACCTTGGCATTCCCTTGACAGAACTGCGGTGTGTACCTGCTGAGGGCCAGGCCCCGTGGTCGGCGCTGCAAGCACGGCCAGTGCTCTCTGTCCTCAAGCACCATGCGGCCTGATGGAATGTGGTTTGCCTTCTGGAGTGAGGGCTGAGCAGGGTTGGCCCGTTACCCCTGAGCTCCCCTCATGCCGCTTGCTCAGCACCGCGGTCCTAGCCCGGGGCCGTCTGTGCAGGGAGAAATCAGGGCCGAACCTTACTTATCAGGAGCCTCCGAAGCACTACCTCCATCGTTGGCCTATTTTACACCTTTATATTCTCAGAAACTCTAATTCATTGAGCAAAGCCTTCGAGCACAGCATCTACATTCTATGATGCTTGTGTATGGGGATGAGTGTGGGACGGGGGAGGGTCAGAGAGCCCATCCCGACATCCTTTGCTTCCCATCCCGACATCCTTTGCTTCCCATCCCGACATCCTTTGCTTCCCATCCCGACATCCTTTGCTTCCCATCCCGACATCCTTTGCTTCCCATCCCGACATCCTTTGCTTCCGACCCTCGGGCTCCCTCACTGGCTAGCGAGAGAGAGAGAGAGAGAGAGCTTGGAGCCCAGAGAAAGAGACGGCGTTGTGTACGGGTTTCCCAGGGGGCTCGTGGGAGCTTCCGATCCACATTCCCTCCCCAAAGGTCATAGTTGGGGCGGCCTGGTCAGGGCCAGGTCCCAAAAAATCTCGGATGGAATCCACGAGCCTGGCCGGGGGGTGCGGTAAGTTAGGCTGACTTCCCCGGATGGGCCTCCGATTTCTGACACAAGTGTTGGCGCCTTGCTGTCCGCTCCCACAGTTACCTGACCGACATTGACCGGATCGCAATGCCGTCCTTCGTGCCAACCCAGCAGGACGTGCTTCGTGTCCGAGTGCCCACGACCGGCATCATCGAGTATCCGTTTGACTTGGAAAACATCATCTTTCGGTAAGACTGTGTCCCTGACGTGGTCCATTAAGAACCTGTCCGGTCTTGGAAGTCCCCACATGGATTCTTACTTAAGTGGGTTATTCCTAAAAGGGATTATAGCTCCTAAGGCCATATGGCCCTCTCTGTCACCCTGTGTTTAGAATTGTGATACGTCTCTAGTTCTAGAATGGAGAGGAACTCCCCTTTCTGTTCCCCTTAGAACGTAAAAGTGTCCTTACTGACGTCTGGAGTGATTCTTGTGTGTAAAACACACGGACACCTGGATGTATACTTCTGGAACCATAAATCGAAAATACTGATGTCGTTTCCCTAAATTTGACTATTTCTCTTCCCTTAAACCCCCTTCTCTAACATACATTCTTTTAAAAAGCACATGAAGAGCCAACAGAAAAGTGTGTATTAAAAATTACATAATACTGGGGCGCCTGTGTGGCTCAGTCGGCTAAGCATCCAATTTCGGCTCAGGTCATGATCTCATGGTTCACAAGTTCGAGCCCCACGTCAGTCTCTGTGCAGATAGCTCAGAGCCTGGAGCCAGCTCCAGATTCTGTGTATCCCTCTCTCTCTGCCCCTCTCCTGCTAAAGCTCTGTCTCTCTCAAAAATAATGTTTAAAAATGTTTTTAGTTACATAATATATATAAAGTATTTACATCTGTGTAAAACTGTATGAATTCCCACATACAAATATAAGAAGTACTTTTAGGATGACTTAAGTGGACCTTCATTGCATTTAATTATGGCACAAAATGAGTAATGTGGTACATATGCACAGCATTGCAAATTTCAAAGCAATTATATACTGTTCGTTCCCATGTTCCTCCTTAGAGCTAATTCCATTATGCTTTTCTAGTGGAGATGGACCCAAGCCCTGTCTGTAAGCCCTGTTCTGCCTCAAGGTTTCCAGAGCAATGTTGCATTGCCTCTTGTTGAAGCCCTTGAAAAATCTGCATCTAGGGGTGCCTGGGGGCTCAGTCACTTAAGCTTCCGACTTTGGCTCAGGTCATGATCTCACAGTTTGTGAGTTTGAGCCCCACTTCGGGCTCTGTGCTGACAGCTCAGAGCCTAGAACCTGCTCTGATTCTGTGTCTCCCTCTCTCTCTGTCTCTAACCCACCCCCCCCCTGCCACTTGTGCTCTTTTTCCTCTCTCTTAATAAACAAACTTTAAAGCAAGAGAAAATCTGCATCTGAATGCCCATGAATTTATGAACACGACCATTTCAGAATCAGTGCTGCTTGTTACTTGGAAAAACCGGTGTCTGGTCCACAGATCAATTCTCTTGGGCCCACATGGTGTTTATAAACAACCTTTGAGACGATATTTAAAACTTGGTCCATTTTGCTTAAAACACTTGATAACTGGTTTCTCTGAAAGGTTGGGGGTCCGGTCATGAGGTGCCTGCACTTCTGTCCAGCTGCATGCCAGTCATCCCTCCAGACGGGGCCCCTATTCTTCTCAAAGTTGTCTGCTGTTGTGTTTTGGGGAGACCCCCTTGACTCATTTCCATAAACTGACTCCTGGAGCATTCGAGCTTCTGTGCCATCTTGGGGCTGTGACTCTCTGACGTGTTTCCCAAAGACACAGATAAAGGCCTTGGATCTCCACAGAGGACAGAGGAAACTTGTAGGTCTTTATAGGGCAGATGGGTGGCATCTACCTAACGCAGAGAGGATTTATGGAAAAATGTGAGGAGCGGTGAAAAACAGAGGTGAAGGCCTGAATCCGGCTGAGTGGACTTGGAAGACTGCCCATCTTTCTGTCCCTTTTGTGTGACCCTGCAGTGGTCAGAGCCGCAGCTAAGGGGCTGCTGGCCCTTCCTGCCTGGACTATTGCAGCAGCTTTCAAACCAGTGTCCCCGAGCAGGCTCCCCGAGTGACCTCTGCATCTGTCTTCAGAAATTTCGCTTACATTCTGTGCCTCCTTTGTTCTAGGAAACATCTGGGGTTCCTCACTGCCCCCATGGAGTGGTGCTCACACATTCTAATCGTGAGGCCCCTTTTCACTCTCAAAAAACTCATCGAGGACCCTAGAGAGTGCTGATTTCCACAATATAAGGAGTCCTGTCCTCTTTCTCCAAAGAGCCGTGTATGCCAACCTTTGACTGATCTGTGTTTCTGTTGACCAGGATGGTAGATGTTGGTGGCCAGCGATCCGAAAGACGGAAATGGATTCATTGCTTTGAGAGCGTCACCTCCATTATTTTTTTGGTTGCTCTGAGTGAATATGACCAGGTCCTGGCTGAGTGTGACAATGAGGTATGCTGGGTGGGGAAGGGGATGGCTGTGGAAAACAGAACGATTACTGCAGTTTGCAGGAAGCCAGCTCTCTGGCCTTAGACTCTATTCTTGAGGCGAAACAGCCTTTGGTCCAAGTGTTGTCTCCGGCTTAGCGGCAGCGCCATCTTCTGGGCATTTGTTAGAAACGCACGCCTAGTCAGTCTGCCCAAACTGAATAAAATATATACACATGGAAGTGGGAGAATCACTGGCCTAGAAACCTGCTTCTCAAAGTTGGATACACATTGGAATTCCCTGGGGATCATTAAGATGAACCTGGCACCTGGGTCCAACTCAGGATTCTGATTTAGTTGGGGTGGGTGAGGGCTGAGCCTGGGATCTAAGCTCATGTGCTGCCAAGGGTAGAGCCACTTGCAGACTTTGGTTCTCCCCCTTGACCCCATGGGGAGTTTCTAAAAAGACCATCTTTTGGACCCCACAGTACAGATTCATATTTCTTGGTTTTGAGTTTGGAGGTGTCTTTTCCAAGCCCCTTATGGGTACTAACGTATAGCCAAAGTTGAACAATGTCATTTCTTTCTTTTTAAAAAATGTTTATTTTTGAGAGTGCGCGCACATGTGTGCTGCACAAGCAGGGGAGGGGCAGAGAGAGAGAGAGAGGAAGGCTAGAATCCAAAGCAGGCTCCAGGCTCTGAGCTGTCAGTGCAGAGCCTGACACGGGGCTTGAACTCACAAACCATGCAATCATGACTTGAGCCCAAGTTGGATGCCTACCTGACTGAGCTGTGCGGGCGGCCTGAGAGTGATGCTATTTCCAATACATATAATGAGAACAGGCTTCCCAACCTCCCTGGTGTGCCCGAATCATGGTCCCTAACTGAGCTGGCATGGGGAGTCGTGCCAGATGCTTCGAGCTGTTCAGACCTGCCCCGGTCAGGCATTCCGTGTCCTCTGCAAAGTTGTCTGGTCCGAGCTGTATCTGCACAGAAAGTGAAGAGAGCCATCACTGCCCCTTCTCTGTGAGGTATATTCTGTGGGGTATCATTGTCCTCCCCTGGGCTTTTCCCCACCCTTGCACGAGACATGCTGACCTCATAGGAAAACATACCTTGCTTCTAGGTCACGATAGTAAATGGGTGAAGAACTCTGCCCAGGATTAGGCAATAACTGAACAAATTATATCTTGTATTTCTTGAGAGCCGACTTTTCTCTGAGGAGCACAGTTACATTAGCTAATTAGTGGAGGATTAACCCATTTACTAGTGTCATTGTGCAGAGAAGAATAGCAACAATCTTGGCTGCCACCCAGCTCTTCCAAGGGAGGCATTTTTTTAAAAAGCAAAAAAGGCATCGTTATCAATGTGAAAAATCGGCTCCAAATTTGTCTCAAGATTACTTAATGATGTTTCTCAGAAAACTCAAAAGATTATCCAGGGGCACAAGGGGCCAGCACCTCAGCCCAGTATGTTTAGAAATTAAACGTTTCTTCTCTGCTAAAAATCACAAGGTATTTGGAGAAGAAATAAGTGGCTCCCACTCCAGACTCCCTAGTCTGGTTGTCATTCTGTGTTGGCGCCCACACACTGGGCTGTGTAGGAATTGTTTCTTCATATACGGTAGTCCCTTGAACAACGCAGGCTTGAACGGCATGGGTCCACTTATACATGGGGTTTTTTTGTCTGATAAATATAATAAGTGTATTTTCCTTATGATTTTCTTATGGTTTCTCTATTGTAAGAATATGGGGTGTAACACCCATATAATATATGTGTTAATTGAGTGTTATTGGTGAGACTTTTGGTCAACAGTAGGCTATTAGTAGTTAATAATAGTTTTGGGGGAGTAAGAAGTTACATGCACATTTTTTTTTAGTTTATTTATTTTGAGAGAGAGAGAGAGCAAGTGGAGAAAGGGCAGAGAGAGGGAGAGACAGAATCGAAGGCAGGCTCTGTTGTCAGTGCCGAGCCCAGTGTGAGGTTCAGTGTCATGAACCATGATATCATGACCTGAGATCAAGAATTGGATGCCTAACCTACTGAGCCACCCAGTGCCCTTATATGCACATTTTCAACTGTGCCAGTACATCAGCACCCCATCTCTTGTACTGTTCAAGGATCAACTGTGTATTTCCTTGGAGAGCATTATTGAAAAGATCATAATACATTTTTTAAAGCTTTAAAAACAACTGAGGGAAAAAATTAACAATAGAACTCCCCTATGACCCAGGAATAGCACTGCTAGGAATTTACCCAAGGGATACAGGAGTGCTGATGCATAGGGGCACATGGACCCCAATGTTCATAGCAGCAGTCTCTCAACAATAGCCAAATCATGGAAAGAGCCTAAGTGTCCATCAGCGGACGAATGGATCAAGAAGATGTGGTTTACTTATAATGGAATACTACATGGCAATGAGAAACGATGAAATCTGGCCATGTGTAGCAACATGGATGGACCTTGAGGGTGTTATGCTGAGCGAAATAAGTCAGGCGGAGAAGGACAAATACCATATGTTTGCACGTATAGGAGGATTAGGAGGAACTTAACGGAGGAACAAGGGGGAGAAGGAGGAGGGAAATAGTGGGGGAGGGGGAGAGAAGCAAACCATGAGAGACTCTTGAATGCTGAGAACTGAGGGCTGATGGGGTGTGGGAGAGGGGAAGGGGGGTGATGGGCACGGAGAGGGGCACTTGTGGGGATGAGCACTGGGTGTTATATGGAAGCCAACTTGACAATAAACTATTTATAAAAACAACAAACAATCAAAAAAAACAACTGAGGGATGGGGCATCTGGGTGGTTCAGTTGGTTGGGCCTCCGACTTCAGCTCAGGTCATGATCTTGTAGTTCATGAGTTCGAGCCCTGCACTGGGCTCTGTGCTGACAGCTCAGAGTCTGGAGCCTGCTTCAGATTCTGTGTCTCCCTCTCTCTGCCTCCCTCTGGCTTGTGATTTCTTTCTCTCTCAAAAATAAGTAAAAACATTTTTTAAAAAGTAAAAACAAACAAATAACCTTAAGGGGTTACGTATCCGGTAATAAATTCCAGATCTGAATTCCCAAAAGGGTACGGAGCGGGAGAATAAATCCCGATGTACAAGACTTGTAGGGAAACAGATTTACAGCATGTCCCTCTGGAGTGGGTGTTCAAGGCTTTCATGAGTTTGTCTGAGCACTTCCCTCTCTCTAAAGGAAGTGGTGCCTGACTGGCTCAGGATATGATCTTGCGGTTTGTGAGTTCGAGCCCATTTTGGGCTCTCTGCTGTCAGCCTGTCAGCAGAGTCTGCTTCAGGATTCTCTGTTCCCCTCTCTTTACTCCTCCCTGGCTTGCGCTCTCCAAAAATAAATATTAAAAAAAACACACACACACACACACAGGGGCACTTGGGTGGCTCAGTCAGTTAAGCGTCTGACTTTAGCTCAGGTCATGATCTCGCGGTTCGTTGGGTTCAAGCCCCGCATCAGGTTCTGTGCTAGCAGCTCAGAGCCTGGAGCCTGTTTCGGATTCTGTGTCTCCCTCTCTCTCTGACCCTCCCCTGCTCCTGCTGTCTCTCTCTCAGAAATAAAAAACATTGAAAAGATGAAAAAAGAAACAAACTTCAGAACAGAGTACTATCTAGAACAATTATTGTCACCAGATAAGATTTATATGTGCCCTGTCTACTCTCCCTAAAGTAGGAACACTTGATGTATTCTTGCCAGTGTCAAACGTTAAGAAACGTTTCTTTTTTCCTGCATAATTTTGACCAGATCCTACTATTATAGGGGCTTGAAGACATGATTTAAACTTGTGAACAACAGCATGCTCATCTGCAAAATGGGGACCCTGAGCCAGCGTCAAGCTCCCCTGTCTAATAAGACACATAAAGTGGGGCAGAGGCAAGGTGCTCAGTGGCATGGGCTCCCTGCTCTGCGGGTGTCCAGGAGCCTGAACCCAATTAAAGTGGGTGTATGGGGTCTAAGTTATGCACTTCCCCCACTCAGTAATACCAGTAATGACTCAGAAAACTCTCATCACATAGGATATGAACTCTCTTCCAAATTTCACAAAAGCCTTTCTTATATTTTATGTTTATCTGGGGTGTTACAGAACACATATGGAAAGGAGTGATTAAGAAAGCCAGAAGGGAGGTGGGGAGGGGGGAGGACAGAGGCAGGAGACCTGGTATCCTGAGGGGCCCCAGGTGCTCACCAGCTTCAGCAAGGACAGTGATACGGAGCCGGCAGCTGGGTGAGGGGACAGAGGGACAGAACCAGACATCTCGGCACGTTGCTTCCAAAGTGCTGTTTTTCTTTCTTTTTAACCCCAAGCCCATTGTTTCTCACTTAGAACCGCATGGAAGAGAGCAAAGCCTTATTTAAAACCATCATTACCTACCCCTGGTTTCTGAACTCATCCGTGATTTTGTTCTTGAATAAGAAGGATCTTTTGGAAGAGAAAATCATGTACTCTCATCTAATTAGCTACTTTCCCGAGTACACAGGTGAGTGCCCACCTTGGCGACTCCCCTGGGCAGCAGTCCAGCGTTACTGGCAAGGCCCCTCGGCCCCCCACCCTCCCCACAGCCCCCGATCTGCCTCTAACACACCTGCTTACTGAAGCTCCAAGTGCATCACTGTGTTTTGCCTCTGTACTTCTGTGCATGCCAGCACTTTTTGTGAACTTGACTCTGTTCTCCAAGACCCAGCTCAGGCGTCTCCTCCTCTTCCTCCGGGAAGTCCTGCTCACCCTCGCGGCCCCCTCGTCTGCATAAGGGTGCCCCCCTGGCAGTGTGGGTGCACGTGTCACGTGCCTGTGACAGTGTAGTGCTGTCCGCGTGGGCAGTGCCCCAGGCTGACTCTGCCTGCCCTGCCTTTCCAGGCTCTGCCCGAGGGCGGGGTACTTCTTCGGCGTGTACTGGCGTGGCAGCCCCCTTCCGAGGCACGGGGTAGACCACGGGGTTTTATATACATGACCGGTCCCTGGCTGGAAAGTTTATGTCTTGTTGCTAAGTATTTCTGGTACAGGAGGTCTCCTATATCAGGAAGTTTGACACTGATGTTCAGAGTGGTGTTTTCGCCCCCTGCCCCCTCCTAACAGCTGCGGTGGCCGTATCGCCAGAGCCCCCGTGCCGCAGGAGACCTGGGTGTCTAATCACGTTCCTATATTCTTCCTGGGCCCAGTCCTGGCCCACTTCTGTCTGCCCCCGTGACCCAAACCCGAAAACTAAACTGCCTCATTATTTTTCCACAAATCGCTTTAAAGTACAAGTTTTAGATGGCAGTGGACACTTTAAAAGACTCCTTTAGGAGAGAGAATAAAATAGGCTAAGAGTTAAGGCCCCAGGTCACCTGTCTTCTAGAAAGAAGACAACAAATCAGAAGGCTCCCACGTCAGAGCAGGAGTCTATTGAGAAGGATTTTGGGGGAAGACCGGTGGTTGGTCACTGTCTGTCTTCTTTGTTCCTGTAACCGCACTCCTGACTAGGCCCCAAGCAGGATGTCAAAGCTGCCAGAGACTTTATCCTGAAGCTTTACCAAGATCAGAATCCTGACAAAGAGAAGGTCATCTACTCTCACTTCACGTGCGCGACGGACACGGAGAATATCCGCTTTGTGTTCGCTGCTGTGAAGGATACGATTCTCCAGCTCAACCTGAGGGAATTCAACCTGGTTTGAGAGCTGCTGTGCACCCGCCTCCGTTCCAGGCTGGGCGAGCTCCTCCCCTGTTATCTGCAAGTGTTTGTGACGTCGCCCACCCCCGGCAGCACCGAGCCCGTCATGCAGGCCATGGGACAGGTGACGGACCTTAGATATTTGAGTTGAGCAAACCTTTTCGAAGTCTTCATTCCTACATTGTTTTTATATTTCTTTCCTCGACTTTTGGCTCTAAGATTTTGTGTAAGTTTTGAATTGGATATTTTATAGAATTTTTAAAAGCCACTGTGATTTATGTTCTTTTTTTAAGTTAAAGTGTGTTTAATAATAGCCATTAACGCATCATGTAACAGAGGGGTCTGTTAGTTTATAGATCATACATTGAGACCTCTAGGATGAGTTTCGGTGATATTTTTAAAAAAGAAAATGAGTTTGAGGCTTTTTATTAAATCTTGTAATTTTGAGATTTTAAATTGAGTGTTTTTCTCTCTTCATGCTGAAGTATACATTTAATGTGTCATCAAAGATTTTTTTTAATACTTTTTTTTGTGTTAAATATTTCTAAGCCAAATTAATGAGTCTATTATATCCAACTTGGTTTTGCCATAATTTGATCACCATGCCGCCAAAGCTGACATAAATGGGCTCTAGATAGCATATATGTTGTAAAAAATGTGTGTGTGTACGCATATATGACCAAGTCTTGCAAACTTATGAAATGGCTAAAAGCCTAAACTGTTTTACAAATGTAATTACCCCTGCCAAAGTTCTGATGGCCACCAGTTTTGCTGTTTGAACCAATGTATGCTGTGCCTTTCTGAGGAGGCTAAGAATATACCATTCTGCCATTAGCATTGAATTATGTTGTTTCTTTGATCTCACGGTTGACTGGTGGTTCAGCCTCTCAAAAGAAAAATGCTGTGACTTTAATAGTTTATAACTCAAACTTTCTAAATAGCCTTGTAAAAGAAGAAAAATAAATTTCCCTTTAATTTGTAGGTTCCTGGCTGAGATCCCCCTGTAAAACAAGCAAGCAAAACAGATGAATAGGAAAAAGCCCAGGAGTTTAATAATATGTATGCCTCCTGTAAACATTAGAGACACCCAGAAGAACTAAATCACTTCCCAAATAGGCCAAGCTCTCACCTTGAGTGCTTTCTTCAGCTAAAGACCCAAGAAAGGTGTTGTAGGAGGAAGAGCCACCTGTGAGAGGTTATCAGGCAAAGCACAGTGAGCAAGAGTAAGGTGGCCATGATGGAGTAGTCATCCTTGCCTTTCTGGTAGAGAGAGGGAGATACCCTTACAAATGGAGATTTCCCTTATAAAAGAGTAGCTCTTACTAGTCACTTCCAGAGCTTTTGCCGTATCTCCTGTTTCTTAAAAATTATAAGCTCAAAGAGGCACATTTTGGGGGGCCATAGTCTGCTCCCTTTTGGGTCTGCCTTTGAAGCTTCAGATTAGTTTCACGGTCCAGAAGCTGTGTGGATTGATGGATTTCTCTGTAGTTTTACTGAACCAGTCTCCATCTTTTTTTATGTGAGAAGAAGCCAATGCAATGGCTAGTCTTTATCGCAAAGCAGAAACTTGACAGCACGTTTGGAGTACGTCAGTGCTTGTGATGGGCACAGCTAGGGCCTGGCCTTTGGTGAGCCAGAACCAGACGGTGGCCCTGTTGTCCTCTTCTCAGATGCGGCCCACTATTCACTTGTTGGGGACAGATGGGACTGAATTAGGGTCTGCCTTTGGGACTAGCATATAGTATAGGTTTAGTCCCCTCCTAAACCTATCTGTCATGACCTCCCTCTCCAGCCCAGTCACCTGCCGATCATCTGTAGAAACACCACCTCCAGGACCCCTGGGGAGCTCAGTAGGTTAAGTGTCTCACTCTTGGTTGCAGCTCATGAACCATGGTTCATGAGTTGGAGCCCTAGGTCAGGCTCTGCCCTGACAGTGCGGAGCCTGCTTTGGATTCTCTTCCTCCCTTTCCCCGGCTAGTGCACTTTCTTTCTCTTAAATATTAAAAAAAAGGGACACCACCTCCAGATGCCATGGAGTGCACCTTGTTGGCTCCGTTGGGACCGTGGCCAGTGCTCCAGCTCCAGGAAGTAGTTTGAAGCCCCTGTGCCGCTATATTACATAGCACTCCCCTCAGTCTTGAGAATTGTTCAGGCGGGTTAAAAGGTTGTATCTCATTTCAGGAGGAGGTGGTGCAGGTGGGATCCCAGTGAGGCCTCTGTGGCGCAAGCAGGTATTTAAATAAGAAGTATTTCTGTGGAACAAAAGAAAAAGGTTAACGGCTGGAGCAAATGCTACACGAGGTCTCAGAAGGTTTTGACACGTTGAGGTTAAAGTATCCTTTGCAATTTGGATGGCTCTGCTGCTGTCGGGTATTGAGGCAAACTTTCCACAGAGATCTGAGGAGAGTTCAGGGCAGCTGACGCAGACACCCGGTTACCCCCAGGGTGCACGTTCACTGTAAGTGATAACAATGGCACCGGGACAGAGCACATTTCTAGGAATTTCATACAGTAGGTTTTTAGTGCTTCCAAATCAAAAAAGAGTAGAGAAAACTTGGGAATGTTAGTTTGAAGAGGTCCATAACAAGATTATGTGCGGAAACTAAAGAATTCAGGATTGGGTCCATTTACAGGTGAATAATGAAGCCTCACACAACACGACTAGAATCTGATTCCCACAAGGGTGTATTATAGTTTCAACTGAAGTATCATCTTTCTCTGTAATTATCCCCCTTTTTACCAATGATAATTACAATAAGTCTAAACTTGGCCTGATTAATGCAGCAAGAAGAGTGACTGACTGTACATGCTGTCTTAAATCTGCTTTATGGGAACTCTGGACTTCTTAAGAGTCTACTGAGGCCGTGAAGCCAAGATCTTACCCTCACACTTTGCCTATACCTCCTACAGATTTGGGTTATTCCTGTCTTCTCAAGATCTCCCAAATATCCTATGGAGGGCTGTGTTGGCTCCATAAAATCAACCTGAACTTCTTAAAACTGTACAGTCACATCTGATTCTACAGACATTCCCAAACAGGACATCCCAGTCAAAGGCTTGGTAATATAACCGGTGTTTCTAATTGTGTCCTATTACAATGAGAATAGATTTCTTAACTGAACTTAACACAAATGGCTATTACCATGAAAATAAGAGTGGTCACTATGAGTTTCCAAATTCTGGAGGAATCAGGGAGAAAAAGTAATTATTTCATTTTGTTCGTTAAAGTATATATACTTTATCAAGTTGCTGTAGGTTAGGAGAGAAGAAAAAGGTCTCCTTACATCTGGAAATAAGCAATATTTCAAATAGTCCTAAAAATTAAAATCATCCTCTTCAGTCTCACGTAAGTCTTGTTGATCTTGACCTTTTATTAGCAATTTTATAATTCAACCTTTTCCGTAGTTTTGTGAGTTCTTGCCCAGTTTTCAGTGATATGAATTGAAAGTTACCAGAAACTTGAACTTGTCAGAATCCTTTCCGTGACTCTCTTTGAAGATGAGGCGCTTTTGCAGAAGCAGAACAGTAGCCTCTGTAAATGGCAAAACACTTCAAAAATGGCCATGATTAAAGATGAGTGTTCACTTGAATGCAGTTGATTATTTTTGTGACATACTATTTTAAGATAATAACTAGAATTATAAGTGGTAACATTTTACAAGGACATAGCAGATTTCTGGGAATTTCATACAATTCCTGGAACATCTTTGTTAATAACACGTATCCATACCAATACAACCTGAACAAAGTTTTGCATCACTTATTTGTGAGTGCTTCCCATGTGATTTAACAGAAGCCTAATATTAGTTTGACAATGTCTTTAACAAAGAGAGATACAAATTTTGAGATGTTTCAGGAACTCTCTGGAATATCCCTAGTTAGTTCTGGGCCAAAAAGACTTCATCTAGAATTTGAGTTTCAGCTCTTCAAAAATACCAACAGTTTGGAACACTTGACTAGGATCACAGATCTTTATGGAACAAACAATACTTGAAACCTATTTAACCAAAGCGACAAAAGATTTTAAAGGCAAATACAGAAGGTGACATAGTTGTGGGCAAAACCTAGCTCTTAATATTGAAAAGACTCAGTTTTCTTAAGTAATTAGAGGCCTGATGATAAAGATCACACAGGAAATTATTTCAATCTTTTTCTTTCTGGTCAGATTACTTAAAAGGTAAAGAAAAACTTTTTGCAGTCTTTTATCAGGAGCAGACCAAGAGAATTTGCTCCTTTAGTCACCAGCTAGACCCGGAGACCTAACCTTGACCACCCACCTGCTTGTACTCACCAATCTTTGTCCCACGTTGTTCCTTGAGTGGTTCATTCCGTTTGTCTCTCAACTGTGGCAAGTGGAAAATGAAACCATTCCTGGAGCAATAGTCATGACTACTGCCCAGACTCCCCTGACTCTCACCTGTGCAGATGGACCCCAGAGTGACCTCCAGAACGACTGACGACTATCTTTAGCTCTTTATAATACCAAAATCTCCACCTAAGGAGGAGCCCAAGCCTCATTTACATAATATACGATGTAGTCTGGGCATCTTTCCTCATGGTGCGGGCTCCATCTTACGCCCGCCCCTACAATGACAAGGCTTCCCTATCTAAATATTCATAACCCTAGATAAAAGGAACCCATCCACCCTTGCTTGGGGAGTCATAGCTGCAAATCAATTTTACTTTGTCCAACAACTCAACCTGGTGTAGATTTTATCTGTGACTTACCAAGGAGTGAACTCACACTGGTTCAGTTACACTTTGAGCAGATGAAAGGAAATGTTTAGTTTTACATGAGTATACTCATGTAAATGGTACTAAAGTTTATAAACATTTATGAATTCATTCCATGTTAGCCAACTTAATTACACAAGGTTTTCTCTTTCCAACTTTTTAAAAAAATTTTTTAAATGTTTTCTTTATTTCTGAGGGAGAGAGACACAGCATGAACAGGGGAGGGTCAGAGACAGAGAGGGAGACACAGAATCTGAAACAGACTCTAGGCTCCGAGCTAGTGGTCAGCACAGAGCCCAACGCGGGGCTCAAACCCATGAACTGTGAGATCATGACCTGAGCTGAAGTCGGATGCTTAACCAACTGAGCCACCCAGGTGCCCCTCTTTCCAACTTTCTGTATCCAATTTGTCCCATATTCTCCCCTTTGCTCTTCTGAAACAACTACTTTTCTGCTTTTAGAACAAAACTTGTCTTTCCTGTAACAAAACTGCGTCTTTGTATGTCATACCTTTTCTTAAAGCACAGTTTACTTTCTGTGAGAAGGGAGATGATTCATTTTCAGAAATACCAAATAAAAGCTGGGCTAATTAACAATAGGTTTACAACTTATTGGAAATCTAGAAGAACTTTCCTCCACCCCTCCACCAAGAGTGGAGTCCCAGACCTTAGACACTTCACTTCCTGATTCTTCTTCCCCTCCCCGTTTTGTGGGCTTATTTTCGAGGGATTTGCATAGCCATGCACCAAAGAACAGAGGGAGCAGGGACCGAAAGTCTCTGTGTCACCTCAAGGAATGTACATTTGTTCCAATCAGATTACTTTTTGTCTTACATGGGCATAGAGGAGTTCCGGGTCAGGCTGTAACCTCTGTAGTCCTCAGCCAATGAGGAACCAGGGGAAGGACTTACACATGCTAGGAGATAAACTGCTGTGACTACCCGAGTACCCATGTCCATCAAACACCCGCTCTTGCAAGAATGCTGATCAAAGCCTCGCTTCACTGTGCTCTGTCTCCGTGCCCCTCCTTTGATTGGACCAGTGGGCTTATTTCTTAACATTTTGCTTACATACTGAGATGCTTTCCTTACTATTTCCAGTAGTTTTAA